ATTTTTATTTTGGTCGTGTATACGGCGAGTTATAATATATATAATCGTAGCGTTTATTCAAATTAAAACAGAGCATTTGTGTGAGAATATTCGTGTACGCGGCAGTGGCGGATATATCCTAGTTCTGAAGGGGGGCGAATTTCAAATCCATAGATGTAATGAGGTTTATTCCCTCCTATTATATTATCACAGAAAAAAAGTGATAACAATTAACAGTAGATTTCCATAGATATCCTAATAAATACATTTATGCGGTAAGGCCGTTAAATCAATATGTTATCGAGATTTTGTTCTCTATGTATGTTGTATACCATATGTATCTATGGTGGCGAGATCGATAGGCTGTTGAGTGGATGAAGCGGTATCGATAACCGGGAGTGGGAGCACATTTTCGATAACGGACAGGGTATAGGTATTTTATAGAACCGATTATGTCTAGTGTGATATATTGTCGTTGTCACGTCAATCGATAAGCCTAGTTATGAACTGTACGAACTACGAATTGCGTTCCGTAATCGTAATAATCCGTCTATGGCACTGACGATTAATGCGCGTTAAGATATCCAGTCTACTTTTTACTTAATTTGACTAGTAATAATTAATTTATAGCTAGTATATAGTTTTTTTTTCTTATTTAGTACAAGTGATTATTTATTTGAACGTCAGAAGTAAGTACTATACTCCGTGCCACTAGAGAAGTAAACCGTGTCCCGACCGAAACGCGTTCCATTATGCGCATTCTCACCAATTTGAATTACCGATGTAGTACGATCACAATCGTTAACAGCTGTATAGGGTGTATTATAACAGTATTATAATGTATCCTCGAAATAGTGTGTGTCACTTGTTTGAACCGCGCGCTTGCTGTGAAAACTGTTGTATACTTCCTAAGATTTTGTAGTTTTGTCGTTATTTTTTTGTTGTTTATTTTTTTTAAAAATGAACATTTTCAATGAAGCATCGTCATCATTAAACGATGCTTCTACAACTGCTGAACAAAACATCGATTGTTCAGAAATATTGTCACCCATTAGAAAAAATATAAATATATAATATATTATCACTCTGTGTGCATATACTTGTGCCGCGCTGTATGCACGCCACAGCGTGATACTGAATGGCGCAAAGTGGGAGAAATGGGACCCGTAACAATCGCTGCCGTCATAGTGCATGCGCGAAACTGTTTACTTCTCTCGTGGTTTATAGTATATATTTCATTCTTTGATTACCTTAGTATTTGTCAATAGGTATAATGTACATAATATCATATTATATAACATGTTGCATATCTGTAATTGAAGAATTACATTGTATCTTCATTTTCATGCATATACCTACAAGTTACAACCTATACAACATCCATAACTGAGTTTGTATGTATACATCTATCAGGACACATTATTTATAAATGTAGGTACCTACTTAAAATGTACTTTACTTTTGTAAAACACAATAATGCTGAATTTAAATAATATTTTTAGATGGTAAATGTAATTCAAAGTGTTCATATGTTATTTAATATCAAATTCAAGAAGGAATAAAATGCAGTTTTAATGTACTATAATGCTGTCTGTCTATCATTCTATCTATTATAGTTTAATTAATAGTATTGTAGCATTGTAATTTCATTTAATTTTTAAACAGTAGAATTTTAGAATCATAATTATTATTATTTTATATAAAATGCCAAAAATTAACAAAGGGTCTAAAAAAAACTTTTTTGATGATAAACTGATAAACTTGATGACAAATGATAAACTTGGTTATAATTGCTCAATGAAAACAAATTGAATATTATATTACCTATTATATATTATTATTATATGTGTAGTATTATTCATTTGGTTTTAGAAGCAATACGAAAGGATTCAATGTTTTGCAATATTCAAGATAGAGAAATAGAAGATACAATTCAAAAATACTTAGCACAAAGACCATTTGTTGTCAAAAGAAATGAACAAATTTCAAAAAAAGTACCAGAAGACATGACTGAAGATGGATAAATTTATTATTTGTACTAAATATATTTGAATTATTATTATATCATATGGTATAAATATTCTAATATTTGTCATTGAAATACACTAAAATTAAACAAGTAAAATAATAATTATTAGTATAATATGTATAAAATGTTTAGTTTTAATCAAAAGTTCCTAATAAATAATAATGTTCTATTATAATGTATACCTACATGAAATGGTAACAGGACTACAATATTTGTTAATTATGTAATGAGGTATTACAACCAACCAATATTGAGGCG